CAAAAATTAAGAGAAAATAAAATTGAAGACAAGTCAGTGACAGAAAGCATTAAGCTTTTGACACAGGTCTCACAAGAAATTACCAAAATTGTGGCCAACACGATTGAGAAGTGAGTACTTTCATTGATATTGATACATCTAGGTTACTGTAATTCACCAACTAAAATGGATTAATCGATCGATAAAAGCAAGTTTTAAGGAGGTAATTCATGTTTCACCCTATGACCAACCATAAAAAAACAGAAAAATCTCTTGGAACATCTCCTACAGGATTTGGGGCTGAACTGTGCGTAAGAGAGAATACAGAATGTGAAATAACAAAGCATGTGATGTAACAAATATATGTGAAATTATAAAGTTTGTGAAATAACAAATCTGTATCGAAAAAATGAAACAACAAATAAGTCCAGAAGAGCATACTGAATATCAAATAGTTTTTATATTTAAATAGTTCCCATAGCTGTTTGATGTTAGATTCTATTTCAAATGAGAATACACCTACTTCTTGGTGTCCCTCTGTTCTCGATAAATGATATCACATTGTGAAGATAATTACTTCTTACAGAAATATGATATCAGCAGAGCTTATACAGATTTAATATGCAATTCCAAATTGAAGTAAACCACGGAAATGTGACACAGAAAATGGTCAATATGGATGCCGAATACAGACAGGATCAATTTCTATATCAAGTTAGGGAGAATTTGCATTTTTATTGCGTTATTGAGAAACACCTTAGTTATAACAACACAGAGTTGTATTGATCTAAACCTACTGCTAATTATCCTGTTTCTTGGTGGAAGCTTGCAAAGTAATCTTACACTTTTTCGCATCCCTAGACTCATCATAAAATGATAACATTAAAGTCTACTGTAAGTTAGGATGAAAAAAAGTAAGGCATTGTTCAATTTTTTTCAGAAATTTTGCCAGGCTATCAGGTGCATGAACGTGTACCGAAAAAGGGCAATTATATAAAAAGAATGAAACCATGGAATAAAGCTTCAAAACACATTTTTGCAAAATAGTATAAAATTCAAAATAGCTCTCTGGTAAGAAATAAGTATTCCTATTCCTTTCTAATTTCATTCTATTGTTTTACATTCAAAGCATGAGCATCGTATTACATCTGTGTAATTATCACTTGAATATACATTGAGTCAATGTAATTTTCACATCATGGACACCAGGGACTTCACCTCACAAACCATTTCACAAACACGGTATACTGAAATATTGAAATGACATTTTTGCATTTCCTAAATATCTAGGAACAATGAAACAATATTTTTTCATTCTGCAAATATTGCATGAATGACCTCTATTTCAGCTCACTGTGTAGGGGGTTAGGAACCTTCAAGAACAGCAACCGCAATCAATGACCTAAAGAATTGAGGTTGTAGAAAACATGGATTTGAATATATTTGTAAGTTCCTACACATTGCATTCGTTCGACTCTGCTTCTTAAAAGAGAGCTTCATTTATAACTAGACTCTGCAAGCAGGGTAGTAAGCTCATAGAATGACCTAGTTTATTGGCTTGCTTAAAATGATATTTCTTTACTTCATTGTTTCTTTTTATGTTTCTTCTTATATTCATTTCTTCTTATATTCAATCAAATAAAATCACACACTGAAATCACTCTCCAATGTCTTTTGCATAGAAGAACATAGTACACACAGCAAGTGCAATTGACTTGATTGCAAAGACTGACTGTGAGGTATGACTTGCAATTGACTTGATTGCAAAGACTGACTGTGAGGTACACTGCATGCTTTGTCTACACTAATTACATTTAACACTAACAGTGTCTCATTACAGGTCGTAAATCTTAGAGCACTACCTATTTGCCCTTACATTTACAATCACGCAAACGCTTGCGTTCTTAGTAAAATAAATGGTGATGTTTTTGATTACCTTTGGTACAAATTGTGCAATTTTATATCAAAATATGGTTGACGATTGCTCAATTGAAAAAGCGTGCTTCATCCAGGGGAGTTATCCGTTGGGTTTGATGATGCAAAAAGCTGCAGTTCAATACCAATGAGGTTTTCTCAATTACTATATGCATAGTCTCTGCATGTGATCGAAGACACAAAGACACAGGTGAAACTATCTCAGCTAATATCCCACAGAGGAAATTCTGACAAATGCTACAAAAGCACACACATAATTTCATCACTATGGAAACTCGTAAGATAATTATCACGTGGATATACTTTCCAGGGCTTGCTCAGAGAGTCTCCATTTAAGAGACTGATGAATATTTTCTTACCGATAAGTTTCCTAACAAGCTACACAGAAATGAAATCTTGATGCATAATTCATGTACGTTTACTATAACGAAACATTTGTCAACTTAATGGCTGCTCAAGTAGTATTATTCTCTATCAATCCTGAATTAAACTTAAACTAGTTTATAGTACAACTTACTTTTTAATAGCTTACTTATATAAATTCCTTGCTCATAAATTGGGTTATTCTTATCATATTGTTATAAAGGGGTATTCTGGAAGGGGTTCAGAACATATGTAGTATAATATGATATTTCTACTTGTCATTGGAATCATAAACTGTATTCTACTTTAGTTCAAGGTATTCCTTAAAGCAGATATGAAATGGTATTTCTAACCTAAAGGAATCAATATAATTTTTTGATAGATGTATTTGGACATGTTTTCTAATCAGTAGTGTGAAAACTATTTCACTCTAACGATCGTTATAGCTGCTTAATAAGCAATATTCGAATTGGTTGTGACGTTATTGGCCCCCACGTGATCTCTCACTGGCCCCCACGTGGACCGTTTTGGTCCATTAGATCATGACGTCATAATGCCAAAATGTTTTGTTATTTGTTTACACAACAATCCTATGGTTGCCGTGACGTTGTGATTACTATGGAACCAATAAACCAAAGCTATAATTTGTATATGACGTTACTAATCACGTGGGGGCCAATTTGATTTATCAGTTAGTTTTATTTCGTTATCTATGACCGTTAGCAGTTATCTAACATTTATTTTATAATGGCTATCGCAAGAACTCTATGGTGGGCTTACAATAGAGAAAGCCGCATTTTTGTAGCTGCAAGTTGAGAAAAGCTATTTCAGTTGTCCTTTAAAGTGCTTATTGTACACAAAAACATTTTATATTTTCAAAATACCACCAATCCATGTGTGAATTCACTGACTGTCCACTTTATCATATGATATTTTCAGGGTGCCCCTTCCAGAATATCTCTTTCAATATCAATCATCCGCTTGTCTTTTGGACTTGTGCAAATTTTAGACTTTTATTGGTACTTTCCTAAAATGTTCTTGGTACTATCAATTAGTCAATTGTTTATTATCCCAAGTTGAAATCACAGCCCAAGTCAGCCATTTTCCTGCCTTGAACATATTCTAAAGGAATACCTACAAGTGCTTTGATGTACCCTTTATTATTAGGGACGGTGTCTTATATTGTCGACAGTTGTAGAAGAATGGAGTTTTGTTTGTAATTTTTGATAACTTATACAACGCATTAACATGAAAAATGCCATCAGTTGCAAATGGTTCCAAAAATGGATCAATCTAACATATGGAAACCACTTGCACCAAATGCAGTCATCAAACTCATCCGAATTCCAGTTACAAAAGGATCTATAATATGTCGCCGCTTTTTCACATAAAGAGAACGAAAACTATGTTTCCCTACTGTGTGACCTAACCCCTAAAAGGTAGTTGGATTCAAGTGGAAGACATTGACATTATAACCTCATCCCTAAGTACGACAAAGAGGCACGTACACTATGTATAAGTAGCTTCGTCCCCTATTCCCTTTGAAAATAAGATAAATATTGATCTTTCTTCATGAAACAAAGATGCTATCAATTTCCACTGCCCTAAAGCCACACTTCCTAATAGATCCAATTTGGAGGCATCGATACTTGCAAAAGACTGCTTATTAGTTCTTATTGGTAACTTCACCTTTAAGAGTCTGTGATGACCACAAAAAGATTTTGTGTCTCGAAATGAAAAATTGAGTAAAAAGAGTAGAATCAGTAACAGGTATAGGCATTGTATGGTAGAAATTGTGTTGAAAAGCCAGAAAATCAGATACTTAATTCAAAATTGAGAGAGAAATAACTGAAAAAATAACATGAGAAAAAGAAGAAGAATTTTCGTCATGGGTTCTCTATCATTACACTTTATCCTAGTGCTTATCTCATATCTTATTATGCTGTTTCTGGGGGAGGAGGTCATGTGAAATGTGACCGATCACTTTTATTTCAACGTCTAACAATCAAACGTCAGATACAGTTACATTACTAATTTGATGAGATTAGCAGCTCTTTGTAATATGAGTTTGAATTTTTTTCTCTAAATAGGTGATTCAACTATATAATATGGTCAGGCCCGTAGCCAGGTTTTGCAAAGGGGTTCACTTTTCAAACAATTCCAGGGGGGTTCACTTTTGACAGCCTTGCCAGCCCTAAAATCACTTGAAAAGGGGGTTCCCTCGAACTCCCCGAACCCCCTCTAGCTACAGGCCTGATAGTACTGCCTGTTCCCGATTTTCTGAGTATGAGGTCAGAGAATAGGGTACAGTGGTGTATATCTATTTTATCATTCTGCAATATCAGAATTTTATGTTTTTATGCATATGTAATACAATCAGTAGAGGGTTTTAATGTTACTAATAGTACACTCTGATATTTCAACTCTTCCTCGAAAATGGACAAACATTATTACACTTTAATGCTAATTCAATAAAAAAAGTACCCAATTTTCAAGAACTTAGAAGCAAGAGTATTCACAGTATTCCTTGCTAATTGCAGTCTTTTCTCTTCATTTCAAAACACAACCACATTCCCAATGAGAGACGACTCTCCCATCCTATACCACCACTCCCAAACATGTCAAACATAATGTAACTATGCCAATATCAAAGACACTGGATCTAACACAGTTCAAGATTTTTTCGAGAAAGAGATCTCAGTTGGGTTGTGTTGAATACTTACTGGCTTGAGACGCAATGATGGACGCATTCAAATGCTGGGGATTCTGAGGGTTCACCTTAAAGGTTACTGTCTGAGTGTTGTTGTTCACCCTGGAACATTATTTGGTACATTAGACAGGGGTTTTATTAGAAAAACACGTAAAATTAATAAAAACAAAGGCAAAATTATTGGAATATACATTCCCAAAATTCCTCTCAAAGGCGATTTTGGTAAAAAAAACTAGATAAAATCTCCTGTGTCCTGTTGTGAATGAAACACCTGTTACAAATGTCTTAAATACAATAAATAGGACATATGCTGAATTTCAAACTAATTTAAACTACGAATGTCACTCAATGTTAAGAAAACTTACTCTATGTTTGATATATAAGCTTGGGGCAGTTTTGTCATTCCAGCAAGGTCCTCCACCATGTTGATTCCCTGCATCTCATTTTGGAACCTGTAGTATAATAATAGGCAATCATTAGACAATGATTATGGACAGGGTCTGAGGTGCTATAAAGTTACGGAAAAAGAAGGCTATGACGTCATGAATATCATAACCTTACGGAAATCCCACAAAATCCCATAAATCTACAATTCTCGAGAAATGCACAATCTCTGTAAGTTTGAGAAAGAACAATGGACTTATGGACCCAAAACTTTACGAAGTTTGGAGAAATAGAAGAATAATGACAATCATTCGACAGGGTTCGAGATTTTGTTGTTGAAACAAATCCGTTTCCATTACTAGATTGAAGTGCAGTACCAGTGCGAGAGACATAATAACAATTAAACTCAAACCATATTTCTTTACTGCTTGGAACTCAGTCAATACAACCTTTGCATAGTGACTATACATTGTAATTTACAATGATTCCCTCGACAGTAATTTCAAAGAAATGTGTATAATTTTTTTCATTTGATTTATTGTCTGATTGTGCTACAGTTCTTTTTCAATGAAAGTTAGGAATTTATGCCAAACACATTTCAACTATTGAAATTGTTCAGTCTTATGCAAAGCCCCTAGAACATGTGCTAATAAGAGGAACAAGTATGAATGACAGGACAAGTATGGATAACAGGAACATGTACGAATAACAGTAACATGTATGAATAACAGGACATGTACGAAGAACAGAAACATGTATGAATAACAGGACATGTATGAATAACAGAAACATGTATGAATAACAGGACATGTATGAATAACAGGAACATGTACGAATAACAGGAACATGTACGAATAACAGTAACATGTATGAATAACAGGAACATGTACGAAGAACAGAAACATGTATGAATAACAGGAACAAGTATGAATGACAGGATATGTATGAATGACAGGACATGTATGAATGACAGGACATGTATGAATGACAGGACATGTGTGAATGACAGGATATGTATGAATGACAGGACATGTATGAATGACAGGACATGTATGAATGACAGGACATGTATGAATGACAGGACATGTATGAATGACAGGACATGTATGAATGACAGGACATGTGTGAATGACAGGACATGTGTGAATGACAGGACATGTGTGAATGACAGGATATGTATGAATGACAGGACATGTATGAATGACAGGGTATGTATGAATGACAGGACATGTATGAATGACGGGGTATGTATGAACCAGAACAACGGCAACGCCAAAGCGTAGCGAATCCCATCGAACATTTTTCAAAAGGGGCACCTTCTACCAAAAGTGTCATTAGACAGTGTGCCATGCTTATAATATTCACATACCAAATATGAACAAAATAGCACTACTACTTTTCGAGTTATAGTAAAATACGTTAAAATGGTGGCCATTTTGAAAAATGGCCGCCTTCTACCAAAAGTCTCATTAGACAGTGTGCCATGCTTATAGTATTCACATACCAAATATGAACAAAATCGCTCCACTACTTTTCGAGTTATAGTAAAATACATTAAAATGGTGGCCATTTTGAAAAATGGCCGCCTTCTACCAAAAGTGTCATTAGACAGTGTGCCATGCTTATACGTATTCACGTACCAAATATGAACAAAATCGCTCCACTACTTTTCGAGTTATAGTAAAATAAGTTAAAATGGCAGCCATTTTTCAAAGTGTCCGCCATTTTTCAAAATGGCCACCTTCTACCAAAAGTTTCATTAGACAGTGTGCCATGCTTATAGTATTCACATACCAAATATGAACAAAATCGCTCCACTACTTTTCGAGTTACAGCAAAAATCGTAAAATAACGAGTAAAGACCGCCATTTTTCAAGATGGCTGCCATGTGCTTTTTCAATATCTACATTTCTAGCTTTATTAATGTCCTATATAATTTTTTCTACATTTAAAACATATTGCTATTACAGTTTTACATATTGTACCTAAATTACTGTAAAATCGGCACTAAAATGGCCGCCATTTTTATATGAGCGGCCATTTTGAAAATCGGCTTTCGAGCAGAACTTCTACCCCCATAGGATATATGTGTACAAAATATGAATAAAATCGGGCCAACGGTATTTGAGTTATTGCCCGGACGGATGGACGGACGGACGGACGGACGTACGTACGTACGGACGGAGGGACGGACGGAGGCGTTCCCTATATCCCTCCGAACTTCGTTCGATGGGATAATAACAGGAACAAGTGAAGTAACAGAAACAAGTACGAATAACAAAAGATTTTGTATTCTATGTTCTTAGTAGTCAGTAGTCCTTTGTAGCTTTAAACAACTGCATGATATGAACTATTTATACTAATATAAGATACAACTAAAATTAACCCAATAAAGTGAATAAAGTCAAGTTTCAATAAGTGAAATTTCTTTGAACTGTCTCAGATTGTAGATTGTAAAATGTAAAAAGACTGCAGTTTTGCCATATGTGGAATTAATAATGAGTGAAAACTAATTAGAAACACAGGAACACCTTCAAGCTATGCTGTGAAATTGAAGCTTCTTATTCCTTGTTTCATTTTTTTCTGTTCATAATCAGACATATTGCTTTTACATCCTGTTTTGAGTCTTACACACAAGGAGGATTGGCTCCCAGGAGCGAAACTTGATATTTTCCAACAATGAAAACGTTGAAATGTTGTTACTTTCTGAAATCATAACTGACCATATATTCAAAATAAACAGTTCAAATGATTTGAACCAATATCTCGACCATTTCTTGTGAGTTTTGGAATTTTTCATTTAGAAATAAGACCAAAATTCACAATTCAAATGTTGAAGTGAACAAAATGGCGGCTGTTTGAATTTTATGTTTTAAAATAATACAATAGGAAATAATAAACCTAATAGTCTGAATCATTGTTACATAAACACGAATCATCAATTTTCTAAGTGCAGTCATCATTAAGCAAGAAAACTAGTAATAAAATCAATATAAAATATTTTTAAAATCAGTAATTTCAATATTGATCATTATATAAATATGTTTATTCAAAAAAGTCAACAGCTGACATACGAAATAACTGCAAGAATTATAAAACATTGTTTACAAAATTAACACTGAATAACAGTAAAAAGAGAATATCATCAATAACTGTAAAAAGAGAATATCATCATAATAAAATTGTTTCAATGGGAGATGCTATGACTCCTGGCTCATAGAGATATACGATCAAAAAGTGCTAGGATAATATATAATAGAAGGCTGAGGTAATGAATGACTAGAAACAAAAATTTACTTGGTCATTAGATACCTCTGACAATGATAGATCACTTTACTCTAATAACCAAAGAATTAGGCCTTTCAGGGAAATAATTTTAAATGAGTTTGGTTTATGATTATTTAATTGGGAGTGGCAGTTGATGATTGATCACATGCGCTTCTAGATTGGAGGAAAAAGCTTACTGCTTGTAATCTGTCACTTAATTCTGGTAACATGCAATCACTGCTTCTAAGTTGTAATGTTCTACAGTTAGAATTTTCAGAGTTCAGAGAATTTCGTTGTAGTCGAGTGATTTCAGTTCCCCATAAGTTCTCAGAAGTCAGGGGAGTAGTCAAGCCACTTCAGGATAGCTCTAGGCAAGTGATTTCAAACCCACATAGTTTCAGAGTTACTAAAGGTCAGGGGAGTTGTAGTCAAGTCACTGTAACCCCTATACATTCACAGTGAGAATTCTCAGAGGTAGTCAAGTCACTTCACACCCCTCTAATTTCAAAGTGTGAATTATAAGAGGTCAGGGTAGTTGTAGTCACCCTATACTTTCATAGTGTGAATTCTGAGAGGTCATGGCAGTTCTAGTCAAGTCACTTCAAACCCCTCTACTTTCACAGTGAGAATTCTCAGAGATCATGGGAGTTGCAGTCAAGTCACTTCAAACCCCCTTTCTTTTAAAGAGAATTCTCAGAGGCCATGGAAGTTGTAGTCAAGTCACTTCAGACTCCTATACTTTCACAGTGAGAATTCTCAGAGATCATGGGAGTTGCAGTCAAGTCACTTAAAACCCCTTTTCTTTCAAAGAGAATTCTCAGAGGCCATGGGAGTTGTAGTCAAGTTATTTCAAACCTTTATACTTTCACAGTGAGAATTCTCAGAGGTCAGGGGAGTGGTAGTCAAGTCACTTCAAACCCATCGAATTTTACATAGAAAATTATGAGAGGTCTGGGGAGTTGTAGTCAAGTCATTTCAGACCCCTCTACTTTCAAAGAGAGAATTTTCAGGGCCTCTGAGATTTTGAGTCAGGTCAAGGTGATAATACTTTCTGGTTGAGGAAATATCGTTATCACAAGAGCTTGTACTTTTATCGAAGCAACTGGGGCAATTATTCTTGCCTCGGTAAAACTTGGACTCTCCGGTTATGGATACAGGCCAATTGTCAAGAACATCAATAATGAAGGACTGTAAGTAGTACAGATTTTACCCAGAGGAAACTAATTGTTTTAGAGAAAAAGAAATTGCAATGTGATGAGTGTAATATCTCAGTACTTATAATGACCCTTTGCATGTCGCTTGACAGGTGCTAATATGTGTGAATGATACTAGTGATAATTGCACATTGGCACAAACAAAAGGAGGCTTTACTGATTACAATGAGATACACCAAGCACTGATTAAAATTTCTATTAACATACATCTTACTCATTTTTCTCCTTGAAATTTGAATGAAGGATTTGATATTTTGGTGTATAATCTAGAGTTTATGCTTTATCCCAGTTAAATAAAACCTAATTGGTTCAACTATTCGAATCATATTTGGATTTCAAAACTTGAACTACAGGTATATGATTTATTCATTGGTTCTGATTCTGAATGAGATTTTGTATCAGTTATTTTGTAATTGACTGTAAACGAGAACATTGGTTGTTAATTTTCTACAAATTCCTGAAAACCTAGATTTGAGGATTTTTGTGATCTCAAATATCCTTCAAGATCAGCTTCACTGCCATATAGCAGCTATGGAAAGCATTGAAATACCCTTGGTTCAAGGATGATCATTAACCTCAGCTTATATTTCATCTTATTAGGGGCCATTAAACCTGTGGAGATTATATCACCTGTACCTGTGTTAATATCCAATGGAAGTGACAATATAATACAATGCCTATTATTATGTAATATAATGTAACTCATCCAATCAGAAAAACTGATGATATTAAAGAATATTGCGTATCACAGTATCAGAGTATGTCTCTAGTAAAACAGAAAGAGCCGATGTGTTATATTTATGGTTATTATTTTTTGCATTAAAAGTGACAACTCTTTTGAAATTTTGAATGAACTTTTACTGATATCACAAAAAGGTTGAGTCCCCATATCCCAATCACGTCACTCTTGGTTTCTTAATAGAAAATGATCACAATGGAAATGTCAATGAGGGTGGCACCAAAATCGTATAAATAATACATACCCATTCTTAACTTTGATGTAAGCATAGTTGGTATCCACAACATTGTAGTTTGGCTCCTCCTTGGGCTGACTTGGCTCTGGATCTGCAAATATAGAGTAGCACCTTACATAACTGTGCAAAATAACTTAAAAAGCTTCTTTTCTGTTTATAAATAAATATTAGAATACCCAAACATAGTAACATTTTGTGACTCCGTTTTATTTGAAATACATAACCTGGTAAAATATGTAAAGCAAGAAAATTGGGATACGATGCTAACATTCTTGGCTATTAAAATAATAATTTTCTAAATCCATTATGTCGTTGTTACAATGGAAGTCATTATACAGGGTGACCCCAAAAAAATGCAACCCTCCATTTCTTCAATTTTTTTCTTAAATGGAGGTTAATTGCTCTGAGATTTGGCACACAAGAACTTCATTCAATGTGGGATCCTCTGGCAAAGTTTTAATAATCATAGTCTTATATTGATAGAGTTATGGTTGTTTCAAAATATGCTCCAGATGTCGTCAATTTCCCTGAAAACAAACTTGCAATGTTCAAGGAAAACTGTTCATAACACAGATGCATTCTTCCCCATAGGTATGGCTCAAATTTTTGCAGCCATTGCTTGTTGGAGTTCTGCAATTGTGGTAGGGTTATTTTTATACACATTTATTTTAATAATCCCATATATAGAAGTCAGGGGCATTGAGATCAAGACTATGGGATGACCATGGGTTCTCCGTCCTAGGAGAGATAATCTTCTCATAGAAATGACTAGTGAGCCAGGCTATGCTATCATTAGAAGTGTGAGGAGTAGCTCCATCCTTCTAGAACCACTGCTCTTGTCTATTGAAGCCTCTATGTCACTCTAGAACTGCCTAGAACTTCCTGGGAATGCCAATATTGCGCTGTGTGTTAACAGTAACAATGTTGCCATTATCAACCTCAAACCAAAAGGGGCTGATGATTTCATGTTTGGAAATTAGCAGCCCAAGCTGTGCATTTAACAGAATGAAGGGGCCTTTGAAGCACTTCATCTGGAATTTGTGATCCCAGAACACATTATTTCTTGAGTTTACATGTTCAGAAAGAAGGGAATGTGATTCATCTGAAAACCTAACATTGGTAATGGACGACATTTGGAGCATATTTTGCAACGACCATAACTCTATCAATATAAGACTATGATTGTTGAAACTTAGCCAGAGGATCCCACATTGAATGAAGTTTTTGTGTGCCAAATCTCAGAGCAATTAACCTCCATTTAAGAAAAATATTGAAGAAATGGAGGGTTGCATTTTTTTTGGGTCACCCTGTATAAGAGGAGTAAGAGGACAACTAACTTTGACAAGGGTTTCAATAGCAGCAGGCAACAGGCGATTTTCACTGGTTGTTTTCACAAAATCGCCTGTTGTTTTAGGGACTTTTCAACTTTTCCCTGTTAAATTTATGATTTCCATTAATTTTGCCTGTTGTTTTCATTTATTTAGCCTGTTGTTAGAAATTCTAGTGAAACCGCTGTTTGAAATTCATAAGTTTGTGAATTACTCTGGCAATGTGCCCATGCCTGTTATAAATGTAAGGAATATGACATTCCATTTGGGAACATTGTGCTTAATAGGTGAGGTACTTAAATAAGTTGATCAATGCTTCTTTGGTGAGGTAAATACATTGATCAATTCTTCTTTGGTGGTGAAGTAAATACATTGATGAATGCTTTTTTGGTGAGGTAAATACATTGATCAATTCTTCCTTGGAGATGAGGTAAATACAATCAATTCTTCTTTGGTGGTGAGGTAAATACATTGATAAATGGTTTTTGGTGAGGTAAATACATTGAATCATGTTTCTTTGGTGAGGTAAATACATTAATCAATTCTTCTTTGGTGGTGAGGTAAATACATTGATAAATGCTTTTTGCTGAGGTAAATACATTGAATTATGTTTCTTTGGTGAGGTAAATACATTAATCAATTCTTCTTTTTGGTGAGGTAAATACATTGATAAATGGTTTTTGGTGAGGTAAATACATTGAATTATGTTTCTTGGGTAAAGTAAATACATTGATAAATGCTTTTTTGGTGAAGTAAATTGCTAATCCAGTTCTTTGAACAGTGGGCCTGTATTCCAATCTACTGACACCATAGTCTAATAATGAACAAAATCCACAAGAGTCACCAGAGACAAAAAATGTATCATATGAAAGAGAGACCCTTATGTCGCCCTTCCTTTGAGAAATCCTTATTATGACATAATTATTAGCAGATAATTATCAGTATTTGAGAAACCATATATGGAAGAGGAAATATCGCAATATACAGTGATACATAAAATGATCGGATACAGTAAATCCTGTCTTAGTGAACACCTCTCTCTATAGTGAATACCTGTCTCTAGTAGACACCATTCACACCACACATACTCTACTGACTTCTTATGAATTGCCCTCTCCGTAGTAAACACCTACCAACACTGAACGTTTTTTCTCGGCAATAAAAATGTTTAATCAACACAAGTTTTATAGTTAAAAATAAGAATAAAAAAAATATTCATATTTATCCCATAGTTGAGGTAAAATCTGTAGAATAACATGTATATATATTTATGATATTTTGCAAACACGTGGAAAAAAGTGATATCTGTGGAATACGGAGAATACACTAACTTCTACTTTATAATAATGATGAATATATATTCAAGAAACATGAGATGTCTCATTATTTGAGGAGAGATTATGTTAGGCAAAACAGCACTTTTAACATCAATTAATATAGCTCAATAGCACAACTTCCAAGAAATAATCTCGTGTATCACAGGTGTAATATTCAAGTTTTCATGGAAAAACAAATCCTGAAACAATGCCAGATTAATTCATGATTGCAACTATACAGTCACATGAGACTATTTCATGAGTCTTGTTTCGTATGCAAACAGAAATAGGAGAAGATGATGATAAAAAACATTATCAAGGAGTCAAATACAATCATGGTATTTACATTGATCATTATAACAGTAAAACCTGTCTTAGTGAACACATCTCTCTAGTAAATACCTGTCTCTAGTAGACACCCTTCCTCCACACATACTCTAATGACTTCTGTAAAAATTGCCCTCTCTATAGTGAACACCTACCAAACTGAATATTTTTTCTCGACTCAAAAATGTTCAGTATATACAGGTTTTACTGTATTGTTAAACCTTTCATGTATTTATGGTGGCAATGTTTTTAGTATATGGTAGAGCAAGAATACCTGACAATCCTTAGACATTTTATGGAGACATAACACGGATAATTAAGCACAACTTACTACCTTTTCTAAGATTACGATCACTTATTTTGTCTGAAAAAAATTCACATGACCAGTTCAATGATCTTATCCAAGGAGGATTGGCTCCCAGAATACAATCTCGATGTTTTCCAACAAAGAAAATGTCAGAATATCATTATTGTCTGACGTTAAACTGGTTATTAATTCATATTCTAATATGATATGTGACGTCACACTAGCTAGAACAATTGATTTTCTGGTCTATATTGGAGTATGTATGACTGATAAAATTCATAAATGCAAATAATCGTGTTTCTCGTCTGTTTATCATATAACCTAAAGACCTCAATTGCGACGCGATTTTAGTCTTTTAACAATGAACAGAATAAAATTTTTGGTCAAATATCACGTCATAAATTATAAAATCCCGATCTTTATTCCTTAAATCAGCAATCCAAAAGAATGTAGCTAATCTTTATCATTTTTTGTGTTTTAAATTTTTTGCCATGTATTAATTAAGTCCAAAACTCGCATATCAAAATTTAAAATGAAAATCATGACATTGTTCAAGATCAGATTCACTGTTAGAAAATATTGAGATTGCATTCTGGGTGCCCATCCTCCTTAGATATTAGCATCAAGATAATCATAATATTAAAAATCCCTTATCAAGATTTTCTGTTCTCAAAATATAATTCTCAGAAAAGGATAAAATAAGCATTAAAGCTCATTTCCAGGCCAAATAGACTAAAGTGCATCCAGAATATATCGTGACTGAGCAGTTTTAACCTTTAAGTAAGACTTAAAGTAGTAATTAACTCTAGATTTTTCTTAGGCATGAACTTTTGGTTTACACCAATTTCCAGCATGGTTAACTTTAAAATATCTGTCTGAAAAAAGTCTAATATGAAAGATGTCCAAAATATAAGGTACTCAAACTTTAAGATGCTGAAATGTTTTAATTATTTCAAAAGTGGTGTGAAACTTAAACATTTTTATGAAAGTGTTCCAATATTTTTTTCATAAAAAACTGTAACAAATTTGAATGCCTGTTCTTATTCTGATTTGTCCAAATCCCTGTATGCTGTTGTTTAACAATGACAACATTTGCAAAGTCACTCTATAGTTGATTCCCCCTTTAACTCATGTAACCAATAAATTGTGCTGATGAAGAACATGCCAGAGATTGTATCAATTATGGTTATATAAATCAAGATTGCACCTGTAATCATGATGGAGTAATTTACATTAAGCTCTATTAAATCAGAGATTAGAACCAGAATATCAGCAAACAGTATAAGAAAAATGTATAGTACAGGGTGTCAAATAAATATGTTCTCCCCCTTAATTTTAAAAATATGAACTTCTGTCCATAAAAGTGCATCTAGTTGAGCTAGTCATCTGAAACTTCTTGTGGAGTTTCTCCATGGAGCCTAGATTTGATTTGCTAGAACAATTCAGATGTCGTGCAGACAAAAAAGTTATGCAACATTATGTGAATGTCAAAGCTAAGGGGGAGAACATATTTATTCGACACCCTGTAGAAACACTAGCTAATACAAGGCACAAACCTGATAAATTCCATTTATAGTTTACTATATTTACACGAGGCATCCATCATCTAGAAATTGAATAAATTGTGCCCAAGGGAAGCAAGGTGCATCTTTGAAAGGAATTACACATTTGTTACATTTATAATGTTACAAATAGAGGAAAACTACTATGTCTTGAAACATCTTTCATGATGTGCCGAGGTCACAGTTGAAGTTAAACTAGAACAGCAACTCCACAGAGTAGCAAATCCCATCGAAGAAAAAGTATTTTATAAAATCCCTCGTCATTTTGGATATTACATGATAAAAATAACCTGGAAAGAGAGTAGAATTGTCTTCTTTTTGCAAAATCTACCATATGTTGCCACATATTAAACTTCTTTCTTAAAAAATTTGGACTAAATCTGGTTACTGGCATTTGTGTTACAAGAAATATTATAATTTTCTTTAAAAATGGTGGCTATTTTTGAATTCAGCAATTCTTCTTTTAACAGGGATTCAGGGAATCGTAACTTACAATTCCAAGAAAACCACTGTTGTCTACTTTTCAACGAACAATGACATGTGACCAAATCATAAGTTACGAGGGTTTCCAAAAATGGACCCCTTAAGTCCTATGCCAATAAGGCATCAGTACATTAATTCATCTAAGATCACTGAAATATCATGATTTGTCAAAAACGACAAATTCTTAAGAAACAAATACTGGCATTGGTTAATGAGTTATATAATACCCTACTATCATGATAGGCCATTATTAAACATCTTAGATGAAAGATATTGTTATTACTTGAAACAAAGATCGTGTAACAATAGAGTGCAATTATGGATCCTTCCAGAAGGTGATGTAGTTATACAATTTCACAAGAGGGTCAATAATTGTTTCATTTTAAAAAGATAAAGATTAAATTACTCCATAAAATTCATATTTATCATATACAGGCAACTTTGGCTGTTTTATTATAGTGACATTATAATGTGATGCCATCCTAAAACACTGCTTAACTGGAGTTCATTATATGGTCAACAGTTTGTTATCGACCTTGCAATAATAACTGTAACTAGATACATAGTCACTATATTAGCACTACCCCCTAATAAGCGCTCATCCCGCCACTGCTATCTCACAGAGCATAGTGTATATAATTTAAACCAGATACAAGGCAATCCCACACATTTCTTAAGAGTTCATTTCACAAAAGGTATTGCAATAGGTATCACACACAACCAGAAAAATATAACTAATAATTATCTTAAGACATTTTGTGATTGCAAAAAAATTTCTAGATGAAAACTGAACATGTCTCACAAATTCTATCAAAATCCTAAATCCTATGTAAGTGAAGTGATTAAAAGACACACAGTGTGAAAAACTCTAGAAGTTATTAAGTGCACAAAAATCTGCTGATACATACTATTTATTGTTGATGGATATTCTGCTGCGGCACTTTTGTTTCCTATGAAAGATATGAAACATTATTTTTCTCTTGTTAACACCAAATACTTAATACAAAACATATAATTTCATTTACTCTTAAAACAAACAGTTTGCCCATCTACATGTATGACCTCGAGCTACCCTGTAGCTGGTAGATCCCATTTTTGAAAAAAATGATTATTTAACATGTAGAAATCAAATGGAACAAAAAGGAACCCTAAAAATTGTACAAAAATGCCCAAAAAATCGGGTGGCACATAAAAAAATTGGATAATAATGATAATTTAACAGGTAGAAATCAAATGGAGCAAAAGGGAACCCTCAAAATTGTAAAAATTGTACGAAAATGCCAGAAAATCAGGTAGCACATAATAAAATTGGATCAAAGTTACTGATATCAACTTGATACTAGTTTTCGCAATGAGTCACTAAATCGATCCTTTCTGCTGTGTAATCAGGTTTTTTTATGTATAGGACAGATCTTTAACCTGCAATGATCAATCAGCATTCCTAAGCAAAATGGTAAATTATAGGCCAGAGCATGATCTTACAGAAAGTCATTTTTCTTATGCACATACTCAGCTTCAATCTCCTATGGTAATGTGTCATCTAAGCAATTTATATCTCCGTTAACTTAGGCTACCTGATTTTCATGTTTCTATACAGTTTAAAGCACAGATTTCATGCCTGTTTGCTTTATTCCTCACCAATTTCTCTTAATTTCTGTCTATTTAATATCTAAAAGTATGACCAATACAACATTTTGTGTGTAGGTTGTTATTTTTTCTGCATTCGGCAGAGTTAATGACTGTGGCCTGATTACCTATTATCTTGCATATCATATTGATAAATAGATGTGCCTAACAATTCTGGAAATGTGCCTGCCGAGGAGAACTAATGGACAATGTCTAGCAGGCCAGGTGATAATTACATGATATGTACAGTCGTTATAAAAAAATGACATGGCAGCTGGTCACGAATTCTAGAGTACATGTATTTTGAGTAGGAATAAGAAATCCTCTTTTATCATAGATACTAGTATTCCGTAATTCCGCGGCGTGGACGTAATTTGACAAAACTTCAATTTTTTGCAGAATCCCTGATTTTCATGAAAATCCCGCGGAATTACCAGAATTTCAAGAAATTACATATTTTACGATCTCCTACCTTTGCGGGGTATTTGAAGAGTGTCTGTTTATGTCCAACAATCAATCATTATTGAGTACAAGTACGATTTCACCGTGAAATTCAACATTCTATCACGTTTAAATTCGCTAAAGCGAGTTCGCTAATGATGCGCAGTTCTTACCTAGAAAGTAGCTGACATCCGTTTCCGTTGCTACGTCAATTTTCATCGTTTTAAAAGATTGCAGAATTTGGACTTTTTTTGAAAATTTGTGCAGAATTTCGATTTTCTCCTTGCAGAATATGCTTTTTTTCTTGCAAAATTTTTTGCAGAATTCATGCAGAAAACTAGTATCTGTGTTTTATTAATGTATCCTGGCAGTTAAAAAGTTGAGAGATTTCTTTGTTTCTTTGTTAGTGTCACAAAATAATTTTAGCAACATTATATTTAGTCCATTGCAATAATGAACAAGGCATGTTAAAACATGACAAAATGTCACCACCTAGTTGCTAACAATATTTTTAGTTCAACCTTAAGTCAGATTTGAATTTCTGAGAACTCTGTAGATGATTTTGAAAAAAAAGGTCAATTTGAAACAAGGTTTTTGACCCTGAGAAGGTCATTAAAGGTTAAATCTCAAATCTAAAGTCAGATTTGAAGAACTTCTGAGAACTTGAAACAAATATTGGTCAATTTGAAGCAAGTTAAAAAAAGACCTTTTTGACCTTGAGAAGGTCATTGAAGGTCAAATATTTTTTTCCCTTGAAAACGTCATTGAAGGTGAAAACTATATTCAGATTTACACTTTTGAGAACTTGTGGATGATTTTGAAAACAATTGGTCAATTTGAAGCAAATTGAAAAAAGACCTTTTTTAACCTTTTTTGAAGGTCATCGAAGGTCAAATCTTAAGTTGGATTTGAACTTCTGAAAACTTGTAGATTATTTTGAAAAAATTGAAGTTCGTCTAGACAGTATTTGTTAAGTTATTGGAAGTTGTAAGAATTTGTAACAGACGCTGATCGCCAACCGCCGTCAAAAAAACAAAAAAACGGAGACAATTACAATATGTCACCACTTTTTGGTGGTGACATAAAAACTGTATTCAAACATAATCAAGTATATAGTACTCTAATAGTGGGCTGATCATGGTCACATTACTCTGATTAGGTAAAAACAGGTCACATTACTGCGATTGGTCACATTGTCCCGATTACATGAAAATGGATCACATTACCATAAATGGATGAAAATTGATTGTGTTACCCTGATCACGTTGCATGCAATGAACAAAAAATGAAAAAGGGTCACATTGAAATAAAAATGGATCAAACTTGATTGAAGTTGGATGATTTTTATAAAATATGTAAGTCATACCTTCAAATGTGTGATCATGCTGGTCAATAACATCTGACTTCTTCTGACTGTGTATAGCCACAGTGACCTTGTGCTTGGCCACAGGTCCCTTTGTATCCCCATCATACTCCAAGTTCAGAGGGTTTGTCTCGCCTGTAAAAAACAATTTACAGATAATCTTTTGTATATGAATTGTTGTCTGATACCACAAGATGTTTTTTTGGGGATATCCTAGTCAACTGTTTGGTTTAATGTTTTGAATGACCCATTCAAATATTTGGTCTAATGTAGTGAATGTCCCATTCAAATGTTCAGCCTAACGTTTTGGATGTCTTATAGGTTTCATTTTCATGTTGCCTTGCCTATTACTCTTTAGTCTTTCCCTTTTGGCACATGTGATTTTGTTAAACAAAGAAGTAGATTTTTAGAGTGACAATGTAGTTTGAGTTAATGAAAAAACTGACTAAATAATACAAAATAAGAAGAATATGGTGTGCAATGAACCCAAGATTATAATATATCTCCAAATATTAACACCGAGAGCCTTAAAACATGAATCGTCAAAATCATTTCCCAATCTAATTAAAGGTAGGTGCGATTTATAGAAACTTAACAAAGTTCAGTTAACAATGATCATTTTTTGACGGCTGGTAATTTTAAAGCTCCCACAAAATTGCATTAAAAACAAACGGTGCTGAATGAATGAAATGTAATACCATGTTTTATGGGAAGTATACAAATATTTGATCGAGCTTTGGAAACAACTTTAATTTGTTTGTATCTGATATTACTTGGTATGTTACTTCTAAGTATGTATTCTAACCAATAAATCATGTCAATCTCTAATAATGAGATATCTGAAATTGTGTGTAATTTCTGAGGTTTGAACCATTATATGTCCCTTTTCCGATTATTTGCTATAATGTTTTTCTCGCAAGAAAAATTGTTATTCCCTCTCACACATCTATCAACAGCAATTAAATAGAAAACAAAAATATTTGGGTTCTGTCGGATTTTTAAAAAGTCTCATATACTAGTATCTTCGATTTCTTGTCTTGCCATTTCTTGTAAACCATTCCTTGTTCCACAGTTTCACAGTTTTTCATACTTTTTTACACTTTCTTCATCAGTTTGATATATAATCTATCTTTACATGTTCTGACCAAGAAATCTCAAAAATTCCCTACCCTAGTTTCTATCATATTTTCAACTAAGTGCAAATACTTTCAACTGAGTGCAAAAAGTTTCAACTGCCTACATACAGATAGTTTCAACTGAGTACAAATAGTTTCAACTGAGAGCAAAGAGTTTCAACTGAGTACAAGTAGATTCTCAATTGAGTGTCTGACAACTTACCAGCTGCAACCTCATCTTCAATTTCCTCCTGAGCAGTACCACCTCTCTCATCAGCTACAGCCTCATCATCAGCAATGGGTGCTTCTTCCTCTCTTAGCATCATTGTTACGTATCTTGTCAGTCTGTCCACCTCGTCATCAGTGAGTAGATCAACATTAACTTTGCCTGAAAGTAGAGCAAACCCCATTATATTTACAACTTACATTGCAACTACAGTACTACTTTGAGACATAACTTCTTCAATCTTCATTATCAAGTCATAATAATATGTAAAAAACATGGAGACAAGTGGATGTTTATATAAAGAAATCACAACTTCAATTCTAATTCATGAAGCATTATCAAATAAAATAGATAGATATTAATCAAGCACAACTTACAATAAAAAAAAGTTCAGAGTTTAAATTGAATTTTTGAGTGATCACATCATTTCATACATAGCTAGTTAAAATAACAAAAGTTACATTAGGTCAAAATCAGGATGGAAAAACTTGAAAACTTTGAAAATTGCTACATTTTAACACTGAGTATCAATTTATTCTTTATGTAAAGCAAGATGGATACCAGGAAGAAGTATATTGCTTGAGGGGAAATAATATACCATCTCATAATTCAAGTTGGCACACCTACTTACACAAGTCTGTTTCGTAACCTAACTCGCTACTTTTGTCGATGGTATGTGAATATCTAAGAACCCGATAAGTGGTTGCCAGGAATTTTGATGATGAGATTTATTGAAAAGAAAACTGCCCATTAAATCCATGTAAATAATAAAACCAGAAGGGAGGACAACACAGGACTAACCTTACCCTCCTAAACATGATGATGATGATGATGATGATGATTAAATAAAATAGAAACTGACCACCTTGTTATTTACCCAGCATGCCTAAAACCTAACCAGTCTTGGCGGTGGTCAGCTGAATATCTGTAAGAATTTCAAGTTTTTTCTTGTTTGAGAATAAGTTTGCATGTGTCCCCATTCCGTACAAATACCCACACACCCATCGGCACAAGACATTGACAAAATAGCACTATAAAAAAATAATGATACAATATACCTAACCACCACCATATAAACCTTACAAAATAGTTCAATACTTGTATATATAAAACAGTATACCATCTAAAATACTTGCTCCCAGTGCAAGTATACATACATAGTTTAACACATAACCTCAAGAATTGTCTCTATTGTCTCTATAGGTGATCCTTCGTTCAATGGGGTTATAGAATGGAGTTGGTGCGGGTTTCTAGAGTAAAAGTTCTTTTAAAATCATACAGTTTTCACCATTTTGAGCACTGTTCAAATGATCTTGGGCTAGAATTGTTAAATATGAACCCCCTTGGAATTTTTAAACTAGTTGATCCCAGCAGATTCACTGTGTGAGCCAAAAACAGAATCCCCTTGGTAAAAGCTCAGGCTACAGGCCTGGCCCTGTACCCCCCTTAATTTTCTTTTTCTAAGGATAAGGGTGAAGAGGAAGGGGGGGGGGGTAGAGGAACTTGATACACAAGACTCATCTTTCATATTAGATGACTTCACTTTTACTTTCAATCCTTCATCTTAATGAAATAAAATACCCTCGGCCAAGGAATCATACATTCATGCTTCACTACATATACAATCAGGGCTGGTCTATAAAGGGGGCCCTTATACCTTATTTCAATAGACCCTCACCTATATTTTGTGCAAACTTATGTCTTAACATAACTGTATGATGGAGAGAGGGGGAAGGATCAGCCATTTTATACCAACTACTAATAAAAAAAAAAAAAATTATCAACAATTATTTCTGATGTTACTTACCGCCAAATCTAAAACACACATGATGTATAACATATTATAAATTGTTATTTTGTATATTCAAATCAATTAATTCTACATTAATTAAATGTTGCATTTGAGATGCTATTTGAGATGCTATGAGACACAGACATAAAAAAGCACATTTCTCCTGATATCAAAATGATCCCATATTATTACGATATAAATGTATTACTAGTAATTAATTCTTCAATATAATGCACTTAAAGCATGTTTAACACAAGATCTCCTTATCAAATATGAAATGGAAACACCTTGTACAAAAAAATTATTTTTTAAAGGCATTGAGAGCCATCTGTTAAACACAAGAATTGTGAGAACAAAAATTGTTTTAGAGAGAAAGTGTGACATAAAATTTAATGGTGAGATTCTAAACGATAAAGTCTGGTCTCAATTTTTTGAATGTACAACCGATACTACCCTTTTGGTAATTCAATGGAAAATTTTACATGGTATTTACCCTCAAAATATTTATTTGAAGAAATGTAACATTGAAAACTCTGACATCTGTAACTTTTGTAACGCACATGTAAAAGATGACATTGACCACTTCTTTATCAATTGTGACTGTATTAAATCAATTTGGGATGATGTGAATGTTACAAATGATCAAAGAATTGGAAATGCAATTGTTAAAAAAGAACATTTACTTAAAACATTGGTAATTAAAAAAGCTATACATGATTTTAAAAAAAGGGTCAATACAGCTAGTAATGTAAAAGCTATTTTTGATAATGAAATAATGATCAGAAAGATGTAATGTAACTTGAAATTTCTATAATTGTATTTTATCTTATTGTATGCATGTAATGTAAAATATGTTTATTAATAAAGTTTGATTTTATAAAAAAAAAAAATACTAGTAAAGTAGAACAAGGTTTTTTCAATATACTCAATGTAAAATACTCAATTTTGATGTGATACATTGGAAATCATTAAAAAGAATATATATAGTAAGGTAGACGTCCCTTTCAGAAACAGTTTACGTAAGTTTGTTATTAATATTCAGGCTAAAGAATCTAAATAAATATACTTGTACATGTTTATTCAAAAATGACAGTAATACTAGGCAGACCATATTGCTTGGTTAGATGCAACCTGATATGTGTGCATCTCTGTTCTGAAATTGTCATAACTAATTACAACATCGGCTCTCTTTTATTAACAAACATTGATTTTTTTAAATTTCTGTATCTAATTCAGAATATAAAGGTTATGCATGTTAAATTCATCCCTTGCAAGTTTCACTTTTTGCATTTTTGAATGATGCATGATCAATACATGGTTTAATCAAGGGGGAATATCCGAAGACTAAAGTCACCGAGAATCTGCTGCTGATGACATAGCAGTGTAGCCGAGCGTGGCCAATCAGAGCTGACAAGGATTTCCGTGTGTCTTCAAACTACATTGAGTAGAGGCTTTAATCTCTGTATTATCTGAGAGATTACGAGTCCATTGCTTTAAGAGCTAAGTAGGATAATGTCGTGTAGCATGCAAACATGCCATGTAATTTAGCCTGCTTTTCACCTGTTTGCGAAGCAGATCTTCAATTTAACTTCAAGACGACTAAACTTCTTTTACCTGGCACTTACCTACCATTTAATTAGTGTGTTTAACAGGGTTTCTTTTAATGTACTAAAAGATGTTGATGTGCTAATTGATATGATCAATATACAGAGAGGCGGGGTCAATTAATGCCCCCAATTTAGTATCTAAATAGTTGGTACTAAATTCAAAATGGTTAATGGATTATGTGCCTCTGACTTGGTGAATTCATTTTCAAATTGCTTTACATAATATTTTCAATTACTTTAATACATATGATATAAAAAACATAAACGAATTCCCAAATATTGAAGAGGCAATAAATAAACAGTATAAAAGAAAAAAATCATAAAAAAGGTTGCATATCTTTACGGGTTGATCTGGTTTAACACAAACTTATCCAAATCTTAGTCAGAAAAGGCTGCAAAGTTTTAAGAGCTAGTTTCTCGTGAACATACAGTATATCTAACGTGACATATCTTTAAATCATGAGTTCAATTATAGTTTATTAATATAGTATTGCATATTCATAATGCTGATAGAAACTATTGAGTTTATGAATGGTTAATTCATAGTACATTCCAGAAATATTCATCATTCGACTGACATGAGACATTGACATGTAATTATAATCAACGGAGAATTGATGACAACAATACAAGGCACTGCATCCAAGATGTAAAAATCTAGACAATGTTTGACTGAGTAGGTTGTATTGTAAAACCACGAGATAAGAATTCTAGGAATTTTGTAGCATTTTATCGATGTTCCCTGAGCGCTGGCCTGTGACATTAATCATACAAGAGTTAGTGAGCAACTTTGGGTCAGTTATTTAGGTAGGATTGCTCCAAATCATAAAGCGCCTATTTTCTAAAAATCTAAAAGGTCCATGCCTTATTTAGGTAAATCAAAGCTCTAACAAGTTATGCTGCTTAATGTTCTTTATTTAGATGTTGCATTTTAAATCCTACATAACTTTACCATTTGATAACATAGAGATTCATTACTATATTAGAAACTGTGATGATTTGAACACTATGACTCTATGATATGTGGCTGATTTGAGGCATGGCTTTTCAAAAATATTCCATTTTCTGAAAAACCATGGCCATTTTGAATTGAGCAGCCATACTAGAAATTCCTTCTCGAGTTGAGGTCTTATGCCCATAAGCCCATAGAATCTAAACCCAATCCATCGAGTGGTGTTTTAGTGATATTTGCCATGTAGAAAGATGGATGAACGATGAACAGATAAATGGATGGATGAACGACAGAGGGACAACTTCGTATATCCCTCCTGAACTCGGTTTGGTGGGATAATTAGAATAGAATATCACAGCATACATACTGCTTGATAAAATTACTCTGATTATTCCTCCATAAGTGCTTCACATCACATGGTGTCACTCTGTTTGCCACACTTGCATATAGCACGATTTCTTAATGCAACTTTCAAGATGAAATAAAGCTTTGATGAAAAAGAAGATGGGAGATGAGTTGCTATGACAACCAATTAATGAGTATGATGATAATAAAGAGGTTTCGTAATGACTGTCTATATACAAGGGAGTTTCTATGGATTCTTGCTAGTCTTTTAATCAACTGCACAGGAAAAAGAACATAATTGAAGCCTGTAAGCTCCCCTTGTGAATGACATCCCATATCAGGGACCATGTCAAAGCATATACCATGGTCTTGTTGATTAACAAATCAATTCTTTTATTTTATTCACATCTCATTACCCAGGAACATAATAATACTGTAACATCTTTAAATTCGAGATCTCTGAAAT